TCACCAACTCTGTCATCTTCTTCAGAAATGTGACCTTACAGCAAAGTAAGGAGTCTGAAGTATGACAGGTCACTTTTTAAGTTTTTTGAAGTTTCGTTTTCTATCATGTAATAATCCTCAAGCTTTTGACCTCTAGCTAGGCAACAAAAAGTACCCAGCTGAAACTTTTGGAATACTGTTAAAACTATAATAAACTGTGCTTTAAGACTACAGCCCAGGGTTATAACATGCCACTCAGCAGTTAAAATCCACTTGGAATCCAGAAAAGAATTTTTAAAGCATCACTTATATTAGTTTATATTGATCTTTGTTTGATTTTCATAATTTTGTGATTTGGCCCTTAATATGATAAAAATACAAATCCACATAATTTTAAACCCTAAAGATATTTAATTCTGTCAAATTTTATTTGCCTAGAATTTTTCTTCCTTAAAGTCAAATGTAGAGTTTGTTTTGATTTTGAACAAGGTATTGCTAAGTTTTGCCCACTGCAACCATTGAATAGTCAGAAACTTTGCATGTCTCAATTGTTTTGAGGTTTTTATGTGTTCTTGAAAAAATGTTTCCAAAATAAAATGAATATAAATGCACTTTTATTTTAAAATATTTCAAGCCATATTTGTACTAATACAAGGAGGTTGCTTGATACCCAAGCGGGGAGGGTTGAGGGTTGAGAGTGACAGAGAGATGGAGGAGGTGAACCTCACATGGTAAGAGTGTCACAACTCCAAAAATGTTGTAGATTGCACATCTAGGTCACTTTCTGTCAGGGACATCACCATTCTTCCAGTCTTCCCTGATGGAAACCAAGACGAAGTCTTTATCTTTTCCTCTTTCATTCTCTACATCCAATAAATAGATCTTTATTGATTACTTATTTAGAAAAATCTCCGGGCTTTATCTTTTCCATTCCCGCGACCAGGGCATCAGTTCTGATCTTTATCAGTGTACCTCTGGACAATTAGCATTTGAGAAGAAATGAACTGATCCATTTTGACCATGCCATTGTATGTACACTTAATTATTAAAACAGTCCTGTGAGGTAGGACAGTTATCTGCATTTTTCAGATTGTATAAACTGGGTAAGCTCTTTCAAGTATATGATATTGCTAAGGAATCTCCTTGCTCTGAGTCTTTCTCCGCCTGTAATGCATTCTGTGCAAGAATACCAAGATGGTCTCCCTAAAATGTGACTCTTAATTTAATAACTTACTTAGTAAAACCAATAGTTACTGATCTAGCACTTTACAAATTACCAGGGACGTTTCACGTTTGATTTCATTCTACACAGGCTAGTCCATGAGGTTAATGTTATCTCATATTACTACTTCATAAAGTAACCTGTAATGACTTCTGTTTCCCATCACGCCAATTTTAAACTCTTAATATTAATGACATTCTACATTTTATGCCCTGGCTCTACATCCATTTAATCCTGCCTCTCAATGTAAACTGGAGTTAGCTTTAGCCAGGTGAATGCACTTCTTTATGGTCCTCTCTGGGTACCATTCTAATTTCTCCCCTGACGTCTGCTCACAGCACAACTCTTGTTCACCAAGGCCACTTTCCCCCCACTCCTGCCCTCTAACTTAAACTCTACCAGTCCTGCAGGACCTGTTTCAAGTCCTACCTTTTCAAAGAAGCCTTCCCCAATAATGTCTGTCTTCCTGGGTGTTTTTAGTTCTTGATATCCTTTGTCGTATATGTTTGCCCTTGAATAGAATTTTAAAAATTTCCCCTAACTATAAAAGTAGTATATGCTTCACGTACAAATATTATATAGGATATTTGAAAGTGAAAAGATCACTCCTGGCTTCCCAATTCCAGTCTGTAGAAGTAACTAATGTGTCTTTAGGGTCGTATTTCTGTGTATAAGCAAGAATATCCACAGGCACATACACACACACACACACACACACACACACACACACACACACACACACCTATTTACACACATGGAGATAGCTATAGATTTAGATGTATTTTATGCACCTACACCATCCTACAGCATTTTTTTTTCCCACTTAACGATATATCTTGGAAGTCTCTTCATGTCAGTGAATATAAGTGATTTCATTTAAACATATATCTTTATTGCCTCAAATTGTTTCATGTCAAATTGTTTTATACCTATACATCTGATCTTCCCTCACAAAAAGAAAATGGAAACTCCTCAAGGGCAGGAGTAATTACACATTCATTTTCTTTTCCAATCCTTTACTCTTTGTTCTTTGTACCTTTATTGCATATTTCACTATTCATGCTGTGGGAAATCCAAAATGTTTACTTCTCATAACCCCTAAGGAGTTAAGATCTAGTAGATAAGAATCTACATTTATACACAGAACTGTAACACAGGAAGAAATTGAGAAGTGACACCAATTTTTGTTACTGGAAATATGGCTGATTAAGTTATTTGAACAATTATCTTGCTGAAAATTATTGAAACTGTTGAATATGTATAAGAAAACATCCTCAGAGCAGCAAAGACCTGAAAATCTAAGGAACCATAAGGAAAAGCAAGAGTTCAGCGAGAGTTTTTTTTTTTTTTTTTTTTTTTTAGGGTTAGAGTATTTATTTATTTATTTTTTACATCAGCGAGAGTTCTTTAGAGAACTAAAGCTGCTTTTACCCTGAGGACATTTGCTGATCCAGGCAAATTTGGACTTTGCCTGCCTCACGGGTAGTAAAACTACACAGAAAGCTTGTAAATGGCTAACATGAAATTTAGCGTAATGATTTTGGGGGCGGTGCAGAGTTTCTGGGGTACTCAGAATTCTCTGTTTATTGACCTGGTGGGAGCTCTGTGGGGTAATTTATTTTCCAAACTGAGCGTATTTGTTTTGTGTACTTTTCTGTATACATGTTATAATTTATAAGCAAAAATTAAACATAAAAGAACAAGTTATAAAACAATAATATGATCTCACACGTGTGTATATTACATAAATGTATATGTGCATGTGTGTATATTATATAAATAGAATGTGTAATATATAAATTTCACACATTGATAAAATATAGAAATTTATGTTTATATATGTGTAAAAGTATGTGTGTTTGGGGGATGCAAAAGTTTGTGTGTGTGTACGCTTTTCAAATACAGAGAAAAAGATGTGAAAGAGTATTCTCCAACTACTGAAGACAACCTCGAGAGGTAGAATGGGGGGGGAGAAGCGAGAAAGGAACTTATTACACTTTGTGCTTCAAACCACTGTTGTTACATTTTTTTTTTTTTTTCCGGTATGCGGGGCTCTCACTGTGTGGCCCCTCCCGTTGCGGAGCACAGGCTCCGGACGCGCAGGCCCAGCGGCCGTGGCTCACGGGCCCAGCCACTCCGCGGCATGTGGGATCTTCCCGGACCAGGGCACGAACCCGCGTCCCCTGCATCGGCAGGCGGACTCTCAACCACTGCGCCACCAGGGAAGCCCTGTTGTTACTTTTTTTAAATAATCATTATTATTTAGTATATTTTAGAAATAGATTTTTTTAAAAAATGGCTTCTGTCTCTGCCCCTTATATATAAAAGTATGCTTTCCACCGGGCTCCATACCACTTGGCAAAGTACCTTTTTTTCTTTTTTTTTAATGTCTTGTTCCTTTGCTAGACTGTAAGCTCTTAAAGGGAACAAGACAATTTTTATCTTTGTTTTTCTTATATCTAGTTAATCCTGGTATATAGGGGAGGATCTATAAATGCTAGTGAAAAATGAATGAAAAGTATACCTTAAGAAGAACTTAGGGCTATAGGTGTCCAGTAGATGTGTTTCCTTAGAGGCTCTTGTTACACTTTTGAATATTATTTTGTATCTGGCACAGCAGTGGGCGTAAAGTTGGCACAGTGAATACAGGTCGATTTGAATTTAACTGACACTTTGTGGAACCTGTAGGCAAATGTGGAGTCTACCATGTCGTGCCCCTCTTGATCCCAGAAAGCTGGAAAATGAAAATACTCTCTGAAAATTAAACTACGAAATTAACAGCTAATAGATTAAAGCCAAGGGAGGCAATGTGATCTTATGAGACATAAAGACTCCTTGGGCAGAAAGATTTGACTGTAACCTAATTGAGGGTATTGACATCTTTAAAACACACAAACATATAAAATGTCCATCAGAAGGGCATTTTCTCTGTCTCCAAAACAGAGAAAAAGAAAAGCTATTAATGTAATTGTCATGATACCTAACAAAGCACTGTCTGACCAGTAGCACCTGCCAGGTTGAGGCAAGCATCCAACCTGCCTGGCAGGTGGATAACCCTGTGGTACAGAGCTGCAGAGCCTCATGCCATTTTGCACTGGAATCCTGCATAATTAACTCCACTTGCTCTGCTTCCGTGCACACCAAGCTTCCCTCTGGTAATTTGCCTTCCCAAGGAGATAATTCACTATCAGGCTGGTACAGACTGATGCAGATTCAGTATGCCTGATTCTTCTGGTGTCCACTGTAAATAATAAAGTCGCCTTCTCTTTTTTAATACATCAGTGTCTTGTGAGTTTTCTTAGCATGAGTCTGCATTCCTGGGTCCAGTCAATGAGAATCGGGTATCAGAGTCTGCAAGGCCCATCAAGGTAAATACTACCTTGTGGGCATCTGATGGAGCGGACTGCTGGATTTCCCAGGTGGTACCCATCCGTGTCGTCTTGCTCCATGTTCCCTTTCCATTCCACACTTCACCAGAAAAAGTCTTCCCAGAAGTAACATGTTAAGAACATCTTAATAATGTGCACATTTCAGCTAGAGTGTACCAAATAATATTATGTCAATGACAGTAGACCCTTATCCTCTGGGTGAGTGTTATCTGTTTGGTTTTGTAAATTTCACACCTGTACGGATGAATGGAATGTATATTGTAGATGTCACATGGTGAGGACCCCCAACAACTCATATCCAGTTCTGGCTTCACAGCCTCTTCTGGCTTCACTTCTGGCTCTCATCTCATTGTCAGCATTGATCCTGGCGTCATACTCAAGTCACTTCCTAACCTGGGTCTCTCTTGCAGCAGTGAAACCTAAAGAAGATGGAGGACACAATGATTTCGACCAGATTAAGGATAAGGATGCAAGTAGAGCAGGCAATGGACGAGGTTATAGAATTTTTTTCTTCCATTCTCATCTTTCTCTCTTTCCTCAAAATAGTCCCAGTAGCATTTGAAAGGGTTTCAGAATCCCACACACTGCGATGGAAAAAATAAAGCACAATTTCTCAGTGCCATGTTCCACTTACCTATGAGTACAACGGCATGTAAACCAGATTTCAAAAAATCATTAACAGCAGTGTCTTGCCAAAAAGGATATCAGAGTAGATAACAGGGCAAAACTCAACTACAACTCTTAAGTGAATCCTGGAATTTTTTAAAAATTGATTCTTGCATCAAATAAGTACACGGTTAGGTGGCACTTTGATAAATGGTAATTTTTCCCCTTTCTCTCCTGTTCCTCCCCTTTCACCCCAACTTCCAGCCAGAATAATTGATCACTAAATTTCACCATACATTTATCAGGGATGTACCCAGAGCAATCCTTGTTATCAATCTGATTTAAAATAATATATCTTTTATTAGTAGATTAGGACCTCACAAAGATTTCAGATAGCGCAGGTAAATATAGAATCTTTAAAAGACTTATTTTGTACAAACTTGGTTCTTTGAAACTATTGTTTTGACAATCACAATTTTGTCCATTTTATACAGTGGAGTTCTGCAGCAAAGTAAGACACTATTGGATTATTGTGTTAAATTCATGAGGCTCCTGTATCTGTATATTACTCAGAGCTGTTCTTGTAGACTGATGTTAGATGGGATGGGGATGAATTGCTTTATAGGTTTGTGGGCCATTCCTGATTATTTAGAGGCTGATTAACCAGTCAATGAATTCTTCAGGCCTTTTGACCAAATTCACCATCCTCTGGCTTTCATTTTCTTTGGATGAAAGATGATGCTACCGAGGAAAGGGTCCATTTTTCATCCCCACGTGAGCAAGGTTTGTTTCACAGCCAGAGGCAGCTTGAATGTAAGATCAGGTTTACACTGTGGACCCTACAGTATTGGAAGTTAGGCTGGGTAGCATCGAAACACTCAAAATCAAGCCTATCGTCACCTCTGAAGTACTTGTCCTACTTTAGTAGATTAGTAACAACATGTTATGACATGAAAGTTTGCATTTTCTAAAGCAAAACAGGCAGTATAGTATGTTATATGGTGATATGTGGAAATACCACCCCCCCCAAAATAAAAAGAAAGAAAGGAAAATCATATTCCCTAGCTTCATTAAATGTTAAATTAGTGGGGAGAGGCTGACCGTAGTCAACATTTATAAAAAACACCTACAACTCTCAAAACTACCTGTATTTTTCAGAACTTAAGTACATTTCCTTACTTTACCAAAGTGCATGATATCTTGGCAAGATTCTTGCAAATTTTGAAGTGCATAAATTACCCTGAATAAAGACAAAGGAGCAGAGTGAGCCAGAGACAGATGGTCACCTGAATAGTAATGAGCATTTGACCTACTCCTCTCCCTGCCCCTCTTTTCTCATAAGCCCAGGCCGCTGCCTTCCTTTTTTCTTTCTTTCCTTCTGTTGAAGGTCAGTGTCTAGACAGGGATTCACTGGACAGAACTGCAAAGACAACTAGAGTGGTGGGACAGAACTATCCTGAAGTTAGGCAGCGTTATGGCAAGCTGAAGATGCAATTTTCAAAACTACAGATATCTTCAGACTTTGACATCCTTTGTGATGAAGCGCTAACCTTTCACACGCTGGCTGCGTAAGGACCGTATATAAAATGGCAGAGTAGACAGAATTTCTTTTTCATTCTCTGTTCTACCTTTCTAAATTCTTTTTCTGGCATCCTCTGGTTTTCTTCAGTCCTCCTGCAGCTGTCTAACTTCTCTGATTCTTGTCCCTTTTCAGTAAAAGGTTCACCATAAGGCTTGATATCATTAAGTCAGTCTCTGGGTATATTTGTCTGTGTTGTATGTATGTATCAACATTTTGTTTTTGTTTGTTTGTAATATAATTTAGAATATTCCTTTCTAACCAAATAAACTCCAACGGTAATATTTCTTAAGTTTCTAGAATTATTGACTCCTTAGGCAGTCTGAAAGTTACCCTCAAAAATGTATATACACATAGAATGTTGGGTACAATTTCATGGTGTTCATGCCCTCTTCGTACCTGTTTATGGATCCCAACTGGGTTCAGAATCCCTGTCCCATGATGAAAATTCCAGTTATCTACTTGCATGGTCACTGGTGATATTTGAAAATATATTCATTCACCAGATGCTCATCGAATGCCTACTCTGTGCCAGGAACTCTGCAGGGCATTGAGATACAGTGACCAGGACACTGGCGCACCCGTCAAAATTTACAGTGTAGCTGAGGAGACAGACAAGTAAACAGACAACTACAATACAGAATAGGTGCAGCAGCAGGGAAAGTACAGGATACTTCAGAGAGCACGTAAGATGAATGTTTAATTCAGTTTTGGGGCATCAAGAAATTCTCTTCACAATGATACCTGAGTTGTTCTTCTAAGTAGAAGGAATGCTATGTACATAGTCAAGAGAATTATAGACTTATATGCCTGTTGAGAACTTTACGTTTGATATTAAAGGGCCTTAAGTTGAGGGATGATAAGTACTGCTATAACTGAAAAAGATAACTGACTGTAGCATGGAGAATGGGTTGGGGGAAGCAGGACTGGAGGCTAGGAGACTTCAGTAGTAACCAGTAGACACTAATAGTGACCTTAACAGTGCCGGTGAAAAGAAGAGGATGAGTTGAAAGGATATGAATTAGAAACCACAGAATTTAGTGATTGAATTAATTCCTTCAACAAATATTTGTTGTGCTGCTGTCTGTTGGACACTCTGTGAGGTATGGTGGTGAATTGTAGAGACACCATCTCTGTCTTCAAGTCTAGTAGTCATGACCTCCAGGCTTCTGGATTGGACAGTTCAGTGGATGGTGATGCTGTCCTCCAGAGATGGAACAGACGTGTCTCCGACTGAAGGTCCCTAGACAGGAGAAGTGCTTCTTCAAGCTATAAGTGCACCTGCTGAGATCCCAGGATGTCCCTGCAGTTGTGAATTGCTGTGTCTAATGAGAGACGTTACTGATGGTAGAATGTTTCCATATGAACAGTATTTGGGGAGAGACTTGAGAACCACTGATAGAGATGACAGTTGGAGCCAGGAAGTGGATGAGATTACCCAGAAAGAGTGTATTGAGTGAGAGGAGAGGAAGGGTGAGGATTGGACCTGGCAAAACAATGGAGAAAGAAGAGGAACCCAGTGAGAAAGCCAGGAGTATGTAAAGTGTGTTCCTAGATGGAGCCAGTGGAACAGATGGGAGGAGTAGCAGTATGGCAGCAGCAGTCAGCATCAGGGTAGGCTTCTGGTTCAAGATGATGACCTGAGCTTACAAATTACATTTCACACGTTCACCACCACCTTAGCTAAAGGGAATCATGAATCTTCACATCACAGGTAGCCAGCAGAAAATAATGAAATTTTATGCTATGTGAATTATATCTCAAGAAAGCTGTTATTAAGTGAAGAGAATAATAATGATGAAGAATTCAATCTTTAAATATATTCTAACAAAATTGTTGTATTTAAAAAAAGAATAAACTATAAGCATCACATGTGTGCGGGTGGGGTAGAGTGGAGTGAGGGAGAAGATGTTATCCACAAAAGAAGGAGAATACATTTGTATCCAGTTACCTGGTAGCACTATATATGCAAAAAGCAACAGAGCATCACCTTAGACATCCAGGGGAAAGGGTTGTTACTCAAATTTTACGGCCAGCTGAGGCATCTTTTCTTGAAAGGGCATCAGAAAGGTCATCTTTGATATTGAATGATTTGCGGAATATCCCACTCATGTACTTGCCCTGGAAAAAAGAAAATTATGCGAAGACATGCAAGCACCAAATAAGTAATTAGCAAGAATAAAGAACCTGATAAGGGGAAGAAATGATAGTAGGGTATTTTTTTCTTAAAGTGGTAGCGAATTAATTGTGAATAAGAGTTGTTAATATAGTAGTAAGCCATAATACTAATGATAAATGAGTCCTCAGAAAAGAATTATGTAACAGACTAATAATAATGGGGATCTGCGATTATAAAGTGTTTCAACAATTTGGCAAGCAGAAGGAAGATGGAAGAGTGCAAGGAGATTCCAGAAACTGTTACTTTCTTATTGGCATCTATTAAGAAGTACAGGATATGGTGGTGCAGTGGTTAAGACTCCATGCTCCCAATAGAGGGGGCCCGGGTTCGATCCCTGGTCCAGGAGCTAGATCCCACACACATGCCGCAACTAAGAGTTCGCATACCACAACTAAGGAGCCGGCGAGCCGCAACTAAGACCCAGCACAACCAAATAAAAAAATATTTTTTAAAAAGGAAGAAATACAGGATAAAGAAAGTAAAGTCAAGCAGTACTTGAGTAGAAATAGGATGAATAACTTCCGAATCAATTGGCTAAGAATGAGGGGGAAAGCAAAAGTTTTGGAAGCATAAAAAACAGAATATAGTTTTAAATTAAAACTGAACTTATTACCACACAGTGACTACGCTGTTCTGTTAAATGACAAGGATTCGCTTTTTTAAAAAAAATCCAACTATAATATGATCCTGAGGCACACCTTTAAAAGGAAAAATGAGAGGTCTGTAACCATAGATGCAGAGGGAATTTTTAAAAAATAGATTTGAAAGGAGTAATATGTTTAACCTTATGACAATGAATTAAATCTGCAAAATGAATGACTGAAAATAGATTTAAAACAAAAAATAACCAAAATTGACTCAAAATGGCCAAAATTGTGAATGACGTTTACAAAAAGAAGATTAAAAGAAAGATTCTTTGCTCCCCAAATGTGCAAATCCTAGACATATTAATTGTTAAATTCTGTCAGATCTTAAAGGAACGGATATTTTCTGTGCTAGTTAATCTATTTTAAAGCGTGGGAAAATACAGAACATTTCCCAGTTTATTTTAGGAAACTAGGATGACTTATGACCAAATTCCATGTTTTGTCTTTTTCTTAAAAGTTAAGAACACTTTCACATAAAACTAG